TTTTTTTTTGCAGGGGCCATGCTAATGTTCTCTGTATCGTTCCAATTTTAACTCCTGTATCGTTCCCGAAAGACTTTTCACAATGATAAAATTCGAAATTGCCACAGAGCGTTGGAGAGAATTGCAAGGGTTAAAATAAAGAAAGAAAAAAGAAGAAAAAAGAATATTACGAAGCTGAGCCAAGCCTGTTGTGAATGCAACATCTGCCTTCAAAATAAAGTTGAGCTTGCTGACAAGCGAGCCCTGCAAGCCCTGCAGACTAGAGTGCAAGTTCTGGCGGAAAAGATGTCTTTCTGATCATCTTATGAGACCCTTGTCTCTTACGCCCTTAGGCCGTTTGAACACCTGCCTGCATGTGAACTCCAGGACTGGGCCCCACTGGCTTTTGTCCGTTTTTTTAAAACTCGAATTTATAAGTGAGGAAGACACAGCCCAATTGCGGAGATTGCTGACAGCGAGAAGTGTGGATCAGAGGATAAGCCTGTACGTTCTGAGGGGCGATTTGCATGGTGTGCCATTTGTGAGCTTTGCACTGGCCTCTTCACTGAGCCATGCGGTTGGGTTTTATTTAGCGGAGAAAGGTTTGAAGTCCTTCCAAGGAGATCGGACAAACGTACTCTGGATCTAATGCGACATCTGATCACCGATAGTTTATATAATCCTGTGGGGCCCACGCCAAGCTGCTCAGGCTACCAATTATTAGGACTGCAGAAGTTGGGGCACAACTGATACGAGAGTGCACATGTTTCTTTTTCCTTTTCTCAAATAAAGAAAAAGAAAACAAATTGTTCAGTTCAGTTCATTTCTATTTGTATGTGTGATCCTTGCGCAGGCAGGAGCCATGCCAATCTTCTCTGTACCGTCCCTTAATGTTGAGGGATGTGCAGCAGGATGACAATGCACAGGCTGGAGTACAGCGTAAACAGCTGTCCTGTGGTCACGGGTGTATATCCAAACAGTACGGACATACCAACTGGCCTAGCTCAATTGGTACATCACTGAGCTGTTGAAATACAGACCCGAGTTCGAACTCCACTGAAAGCAGATGAGTGAAAACACTGAAAAGTGAAATACTGGGCCGTCCACGGAAAGCAGATGAGTGAAAACACTGAAAAGTGAAATACTGGGCCGGTCAGTTCAACGATGATATCTCAAGGCCGTTGTCCTTTTTTCAAGAAAGTATGGACATACCAGAAGAAGACTTGTGAATGTTGTCCTTCAGGACATCCGTTAAAACTGGAACGATATAGAGAAGATTATCATGATGGCCCCTGCACAAGGATGACACACATAAATTGAGAAATGGTCCAAGTTCTTTCCATTAAAAAATAAATAAATAAAAATTGTGAATGTTGGGAATCTCTGCAACCATGCAGAAATGAAGCTATGGGAGAGGGGCCCTTTGGGCAACAAAGAAGAGATTATATTACAAAAGGTTTAAGGGTGCCCTTTCTTTCAAATAGTCCTTTGTCGATAGTTGGGGAAAAGCTGTGATAGGTTGGGCCTTCAGGATGGTCTGAGAGACTGAGAGAGACTGGAGCGGCAGGATATGGGGTAGATGCTGGATAATACAGAATATACAGCATGCGGAATACAGGAAATATGTGTATAACCTTATAGCCGTATAAAGAAATAGGTTGATGGAGAAGGGGGAAATTGCCAAATTGGATCCATGCGAGGTGTTGCTGCTGGTGTGAATGGTAAGGAAGGGGTGAGGTACGCCATAACATGATTCTGGCCAATTCATGAGGCGAGGCTGAACGTGGAGAGAATGCCCTGCGTCGCGTCTCAAGAAGTGGTGGACATTTTGAGCACGAGAGAAGAATTGTGAAGAAAGAAGACAAGATTCAACCAATGTAATCTCCCCCCTGCTCTCGCCATCATCAGCAACCCTCACATAATGGCTGTGGACTATTTGAAAAAAGCTGTCTTTCTCCTCATACAGGGGACAGCTTTTTATTTTTTGCGCATATATGGACCGCTCGGCAGGGGACACGGACCTTCTTCCCTGCTCTGCTCTGTACAGGGAGCAGTACCCAGGCTCCTAGCATCTGGCGCAGGGCTGGAAAGCCTGCAACAACTTCCACAACTAGCCAGGAGGCCGAAGCCAACTATCGCTGGTGGTGAACCTGAAGCGTACCACAGGGGGGTGCGGGGGACCGAATGGACAACATGGGGAATCAAACCCACGACCTCGTGAATGCCACTTACGTGCTCAACCAACGGAGGATTCTAGAAAAATCTAGAAAAATGGTAATCCACTTCCAAGCTTGGAAGAAATGCAAGTCAGACAGCTCAACTCAATCTGGTTCTACAGCGTGTTTAGAACCTTTGCGAGAACATCAGGGAAAGCCTGGTATGCCCAAGAGGAGCTGCTCAGAGTATGTCCTCTAAGACCCCCCCGGACCCCCCCCCCCCCCCCCCCCCCCCCCCCCCCAGGTATAGAAAGAACGGAGGTAGAGGAGTGATGAATCCACCTCACTGAGGAAGTAATCAATGCCGCTGTCTCAGGGTCTCTCGGCAATAACGGAGAAGAGCGTTGAGTGAGGAGGGTTATGTAAGCGGTGCTGGCTCCGGTTTCCAGCTGTTAATTTACTCCTGTTTTTATAAGAAATGGAAAGAAGAGCGAGGGGGTGAGGGTGAGATGGAGCTATCAAGGGGTGGAGGGTGAGTGGGTAGCTATGGAGGGGTAGTGGCAGATTCCCACGTTGGGCTATGGAGACACGAGAGCAATAGTAGGTGAGAGGAGGAAGGAGTGGACCAAGAAGAGGTCTTACCTTTGGCTATGGTGGACCTTATCTCTTCGCTTAATACCTGGTTGGGGCCCCATAATGAAGGACCCTATTGGGGTACCGGTTGGACTTGGACTTCATCCATGAAGCAAGATGGCCTTAGTAGATGAGAGCCAAAGACGTAGTGGTGTTGTCCTGTGAACATCCCCAGATGATGATCTGCTACGGTTACCCGTGCTGCTAGGGGTTCAGAGAAGAGGGCGAGAGGGCTACACAATATTTCTTTCCACAGCTCTAGTGAGGGGATCTCTCAGATACTGGTTGTTCATTTGTTCATTCATTCATTCATTCATTCATTCATGTGTTCTGTTTTTGTATTTAATTGTAAAGAGGAGTTATGTGGGGTGAAGACCAACCTCCAAAAGGAGCAGAGAAGCTAGGCGAACCCTAGTCGTTGGAAAAACTGTGCACTGCACTGGGTATGATGGGCAATGATAAGACCCCGCATACAACAAAAGAACCATTGTAGCTTATGTGTGTGGACTGTGCTAGGAGAGGACCTTAATTTCTATAATGACAGCTGGGAGAAAGGAGGTTCGGGAGAAGTTTTGAGCACTAGTGAAAGAGGAAGGACACGAAACTATAGACCAATTTCCTCAATCGCAACCTCATATCCGTCCGCAGTAAGACGGACACGACTTATTAGTCTCTTACATGGCAGCGGCGGACAACCAAACCGGACAAATCCGGACACCGGAATTCACGGTTTAATCCGAACCTCCGGTTTTCCGGTGTTTTCCGGTTAATCCGGACATGTCCGGATAGGTATATATGTCCGGATTAAAAAAAAAAAAAAAAAAAAAAAAAAAAAAAAAAAAAAAAAAAAGAGAAAAAAAAAAAAAAAAAAAAATAAAAAAAAAAAGGAGAGAGAGAAAAGCGACACACAGAGAGAGAGAGAGAGAGAGAGAGAGAGAGAGAGAGAGAGAGAGAGAGAGAGAGAGAGAGAGAGGTATATCTTGGCGCGTGTAGGTGATGAGTATCGTCGCAAGCTGTGGCTATGGCGGAGATGCCGACTTTCATGCAAGCGACAACCCCCTCTTCTATCGGACTTTCTTTCAGTTTGGCTAAGCGGCGGTGTCCGCATCTCTAGAGCTGCTAACTGCAGCGGGTGGGCCGGTGTTGCTCATCGAGTGACAGGAGAGAGAGAGAGAGAGAGAGAGAGAGAGAGGGGGGGGGGGGGGGGGGGGAGGAAGGTGACGAAGTGAATACTCAATTAGCTGATTTGGGGCTCGATAGCAGTGGAACGCATGACATGGAAATCGATCAGCAATTGCTGGCCATTGATTTCGGAAGGAGGTGGGGGGAGAAGATGGCCAAAAACGACGGAGGCGGCCTGATTTTTCTAAGTTTTGAGGACGACGATCAAGGGGAGGAAGAAGAAGAGGAGGAAGAGGAGGAAGGAGAGGAGGAAGAGGACGACGACGAGGAGGAGGACGACGACGAAGAGGGGGAAGGGAAGGCTCAAAGGGAAGGTAGTGCCGAGTATGGTTATCGAGAAAAGGCGGATCTGGCGGCGGGAAATTTGGCTGAAGATAATGGCGCGAAGCATATTGTTTCAGACTGCGGCGATTTACCGCGCAAATCCATCGATAGGGGTAGTAGTCCATACGGATCCTTGCAATCTGTCGATTACAGGGGTAGTTGGGGAAATGTGAAATTAGAAGCCGCGGGGATGGAGGCAAGAGAAATAAAATTTGGCAGGGATACAGGGAGCGTGGAGGAAGAGGATCGAGGTAGTCGAACGCCTCGGTCCGTTAATCTTGCCGCGAATGCGGACTATGTTCAACTGAGGTTGGGAGGGGAGGGGGAGGGCTCTCCGCGGGAGGACGTCGGCGGAGATTCAGAAGCGGAAATATTGACTCCGATAATTAGCCCGAGAAGATCTGCAGATCATGTTATGCGGGATTTGACGTGTGTTCGATGTGTAACACCTGTAGCAATGCCGTCGGTTGAGGAGAAGCAGGAGAAGGACGAGAAGGAGGAGGAGGAGGAGGTATTTCTCTCTCGACGGGAGGCGGTGTGTCGCGGGCAACAAGGTGCTAATGTTGCCGCCGTGGCAGAGGAGGAGAAAGCAGGAGAGGAAGGCGGCGTAAGAGAGAGAGGAGAAGTTAGGGAGGGGGATTTTTTTAAAGGACTAAAGTGGGAGAAGGTGGGTGAGGTTGGGAGGAGGGGAGAAGAAGGGGAGGTAGGGAAGGAGGGATGGGAAAGGGAGCGTAGCACGCTCGTGAAAGGAACAAGCTCTGGTGGCGAGGGAGTGATGATGGATTTCAACAAGCCGTTAATTGATGGTAGAGGGGCAGTGAAGGGGGGGAACGGAAGGTCTAGCGATGAAGCAGAGGGTTCTTTGGGGCCGGGAATGGAGAGCGACCGGGAGGGAGAGACGGATATGAGGAGAACGGAAGCGTCGCTCATTTCAACCTTGTCGTCGAACTTCAAGGAGGCTGGTCGATCTTCGGTCGCAGATCCGTGTGCAGGTGATCCTCCTCTCTCTCTCTCTCCCCCTAAAATTATCTCTCTCCCTAAATCCCCCTCGACGATACTGTCCAGTTTAAAGTGACCTTCATCACTTCAGCGCGGTATCAGCTGGCTGGCTTGACTAGTGAGTTGATGTTTCCCTTGGACTAATTCATTGAAGTTTCTATTTGACGTCCTCCTGTCGCCTCATTAATCCTCTCCTCTCCCTCTCGAAGGATACCAACCAAGAGCGTGAGGTGTGTGTCAGTGTGTGTGGGGAGAGAGGGAGAGAGAGAGAGAGAGAGAGCATTTGTCGGAACCGATGAGATCGGAAATGTGAACGGAGTTCAGATGCCGAGAAGGTGGTGGTGGTGGTTGTTGGTGTGTGTGTGTGTGTGTGTGAGAGAGAGAGAGAGAGAGACGGAGAGCAGTTGTCGTAACCGATGAGATCTAAAAAGAGGAACGCGTACAGATTTCAGATGTGAGGAAGGCTGTTCGACCTATGTATGACCTCTGACCTATCGCTTAGCCGCAAGACACGGTTGCGTTAGCAACTATTCTTTTCTTCTTGATCCCCCTACCTCACTCGTTCAGGAGGTGGCTCATCTCTGAGACGTGCATCGTGCACTGCCTGGCATGACTAATCACTTCACTTCTTTTGCATCATGCCTCCAATCGTTGAGCAGTGTGTATACGCGGTTCACTTTCATTTGATTCGGGCGAGAGAGTTACAAATCTCCCCCCCCCCCGGCCCCGGCCCCGGCCGCGCAAAATCTTTGTATTGATGTGTCCCCAAATGGGGCAAAAAGTGTGGAATGCCCCGGTGTTGAAGGCCCCGAAACGACTTTTGCCGTCGTTTTGAACCCTGGCTGGGTCGGTAAATTGTTGTTGTAGTAAATGAAATGTAATTCCTTTTTTTTTTTTTTTTTTTTTTTTANAAAAAAAAAAAAAAAAAAAAAAAAAAAAAAAAAAAAAACACTTTGTGCAATTGGCACCAGAAAAGCCCTAGGGTGCATGGGGGATGTGGGAAGTAGGGGAGTGGGAAATCCCACTGAACATACCTTGTGAAAGAACATAGGTTTACTCTGCGAAGAAAGTCAAGGTTTACTCTGCGAAGAAATCAAATGTCGGCAAACACCACATGAATTGCAAACATCTCAACAAAGACCAAATTGGCATGAAGTTCCGCATAACCTTTTATAAAACAGTTTGAACTTTGAACTTTGAGGTGTGAAGACTAGGAAGTTCGAACTTCGGGTGATGTGCTGTGCTCCTCACGCTGCGCTTGCTGCAGCTGCTGCTAGTCGTGCTGTGCCTGCTCCACGTCTGTCCTTGCCTGCTGTGCTCGCCTCCTTGCCCTGCTTCTTCCTTCCTCGGGCGATGGCGGCAGTACCGGGCGTGCATACGTTTGAATGTCGTACCGGAGGGGGGCGGCCAAAGTCACCAACGAAGGACTTCAAAATTGAAGCCCGCTTTCACTTCCGGGCCGCCAAAACGGAGAAAGCCCATTCAAATGGGCAGAAGAACAAAAAGCCAAAAAAAAAAAAGACAATCAAAAGAGGAAAGTTCCGGCCCCTACCTGATATCGCTCGGAGGCCTTAACAAATGGGCCCTTATTTTTGGTGGGCGGCCCAGGGCATGAGGGAACGCCCCGGGCCGCAAAAAAAAAAAAAAGACCATTGCCAAAAAATGTTTGGAATCCGGTCCGGACCGGTTCACCGGACACTGGACTCCGGACGGGCCGGATCCTGGTCCGGTTGTCCGGATCGCTGCCATGGTGACTCTCTTATTACATGCGTCGAGCATGCATCAAAGACATGTGGAACGACGATCTCATTCATTCCGGGGACCATAGCCTGTTGTTAAAACAGAACCAAAGCACCGATGAGTCAGTGTACAGTGGAGCATTTGTGAGGTTATTGTATTATAAATAATGTAAAATGAGAAAAAAAAATGAAACGAAACAAAACAAAACAAACCAAGCAAAACGAGTTTGTGAAAGAAGTGTTCCTGGGTAAAATGCTTGTAAACAGGATCTTGAAGAGTACACCTTAATGGTTTCAGATTGATCAAGTAGGTTTTATTCCCGGACCGCGAACAGGACACTTAATGATTTCAGATTGATCAGGTGGGTTTTATTCCCGGAAGGTACGGGTGTAAAGCTGGTGCTAGGAGGAAGCCTGGGACTTATGGCGCCCCCTTTTCTCCTTCCAAGTGACACGCTCTCTCCACCATGCCTTAGATTGGCATTCCTCGATTGACCAGTGGATTTTCCAAAGGGCAATACTGTGGGTCATCTAGATGAGCTGGTGTAGTGATACCATTCATGAGGAGAAAATTGCAAAGGAGACAGCTTGAACAATGATGCAACAAGTGGAGTGAGATTTGAAACTGTTCTATGGAGCAGTTGGAGGCATTCGGCGAAGAGAGAGTACACTTTGTGGCTTCATCAGAAAAACATACAGAGAAGGAAGATTGGATTGATCACTAAAGAGCCATCTAAAATGGACAATCGGCACAACTCTCCGCGGGGTCATAGCCTCCAGGACTAGCATCTCGCCAATTCATAAGAAGAACAGGGTATGTGAGAGTGAGGGAGAGCACCCTGTTCAGTAGTGGGCAACGGGTCCTCCACATCAGAGAGGCAATAAACACCACCAATTGTCTCAGTTCCCACTGTTTGTATTCACCGTATGACTTGTCGGGAAAGGACCTGCGGGTGCCCGAGAGGAGGGGATCCCGAAACGAAATAGAAAACCAGGACTCTCTTTCTTAGCTTAGCCTAACAATACAGCGATAGCTCGTGCCCCAATGACAAGTGTCAAACTCACCCAATTGGGACCAAAGCCTGGGAAGTGCAGCATAATGGGAAAAAGCGGAAAAGGCGTGGGCTGTTCGGTCTATGGTGAAGGTTATATGAATCCCAAAACATCAATAAGGGCAAGTGGTAACCAACCCACTTCCGCGAACAGTAATAAACTCAGACATAGAGGGTTGACGCTGGAGAAGGGCGCCGACTGTACTGATGTTCTGGTGACGACGGCGTCTCCCTTTCAGTCCACATATCCAAAAGTGCTGCCTGGCAGAGGCAGAGGCTTCCATGGGCAACTGCGACCTGCAGCACTTCTGCAGCAACTGTGTCTGCAACACTGCTGCCTCGATTAGGCTTCCACGGGGAACTGCGACCTAGACACCGCGTGAATGGTCAAGGAAAAAGCTTTGCTCCCGTCGTCTGACCCGTTGTGATGTCCGGTCCGCTAAGTCCAAGTCCTCCGGGAGTTTCTGTGCCAATTTTGGCTTTTTTTAGGGTCAACGCACCGAATTTGCCGAGTTCGCAAATATCAACCTCGTGTAATGCAGTTCTGAAGCACAGGCTCGTAAGAGCTATAGTGGATTTCCTACTCTAGGAATATGCATGCCAAATTTGGCTTTTTTGAGGGTCAACGCACCGAATTTGCTGAGTTCGCTAAGAACAACCTCGCGTAATGCAGTTCCGAAGCACAGGCTTGTAAGAGCAAGTGGAGTCGCTACTCTAGGAATATGCAGAACATTCATCTTGCGTCCCGCTTTCAGCGATACATTCACCAGGGTGAGGAATCTTTTACAGGGAATCTTTTTAGTGAAGAGGCAGAGGCAGTGCAGCAAGGCTGGGAGAGAGAGGGAGAGTGAGAGCACACACACACGCTCACTCAACTCGACGCAGACTCGACACGACTCGACGGAAGCAGACATAAAGTGGCAAAGTCGCAAAGTCGCAGCCTTGAATTCCCGAACACAATGTCGAAGCAAAGTCACACTGAACACAAGCACTGAGGCTCAAGACTGGTTGCCGTGCTTTGCTCGCGTCCGTACTTGAGTACAGGACTCAAGTTCGGTCCTGAGGGCAAAAGTGAAAATGCCTCAGGGCCAGGACTGAAAATCGAAAGTCTGAGAGTGGGCGCCAGGATGCCAGATGGTTTAAGTGTCTGAAATCCGAAAGTCCAAAAAGAAGGAATTTTGAAAACGGGCGCCAGAATGCAGATGGCGCCAACTGTCCAAAATTGGAAAAGCAGAAACAAGGTAAAAGAAAACAAAAGAATCGTAAAAACAAAGAAAGAAAATAAATGCAGCAAGCTGGCGGGTGGTAACCTGCAAGCCAGGGATCGAGCCCTGTCGGAGTCTGTAACACTTTTGCTGATAATTTCCCCGATTGCCCTGTTTATCTATAGAATCAGATAGTTCGCACTGTCCGGTCGAATGGCCCAGGTTTGGTGTTTTTGGGTACGTTGCAGCGAAGGTTAGGCCCTCAGCACTGGTGTGAGGATTACTGAGCTATATAGATGTCCAACTCTGAGTGGGTGGTGAACTTGCGTGGTGCGGGGAACGATAGGATTGAACCATATGGCATTGAACCATATGGCCATAAGACTGCATGAGTGAATTTATTGAAATTAGAATGTGGTGCTCTCATTTCGCAGCAGTCTCTTCTTTCTGTGGGCAAAGTTGAATGATGAATTGAAAATTCATGCAAAAGAGAGTTTAGAGCAGCTCTTTCAGCTCGGCTCCAGATACCTTAAGAAAGTCTTCGGGTCTCCCCCCTCCTCTCTCTCAATCCTCTCCTTCCTCGAAATGATAAGGTTCAATGAACTTCTCACAGCACCCCCAGCAGCAAACCGCCGAGATCACTGCGATCCAGACACTTCACCGGCCCATTCAATCTGTAGGAGCGACGGGCGGTGTGTACAAACAGCAGGGAGGTAATCACCGTGAGCTGATGGCTCGCGCTTACTAGCGATTCCTCATTCAAGATTGGTTTTTTTTTTTTTTTTTTTTGACCATTTCTAGATTTTTGTGTGTCAGCCTTGCGCAGGGGTGATGTGATGTACATACTTTGGAAACTTCCACTTGTAACGGATGTGCTGTACGTACCGTGGGAAAGTTGGTTTGTGTTTGTGTTAGAAGGGTGATGTGAGGGCAAGTTCTCGGCTATGGAGATTGCTGTGTTGACTGTGACATGTGATGCCTCGCATGCAGTGATCGATAATAAATTAATAATTTGTCTGAATCTCTGAACCCCTTTTGTTATTACCACTGTCCCAATTCCACAGCTACAGGCCATCACCTGGCTATGAAAGATGCGCTGGAATGGCTTCAGAAGGCTGCGCAAGGTGGCGATGCTCTTGCGCAAAACTGGGTGGGGATGTGCTTCCTGAGCGGAGACGGAGTCCCCAAGGATGATACCGAAGCATATTTGTGGTATAAGAAAGCTGCAGCACAGGGATGGGCAGACGCACAGCGCTGTCTTGGGTACCTGTGTTTTCACGGAATCGGAGTTCCTTGTGACGAGGCTCAAGGGATCGAGTGGTACTCGAAAGCGGCTGATCAAGGTGACTCCATTGCGCAGGCCATCCTTGGCTACTGCTACCAGAAGGGACTGGGAGTGCCTGTGAATGCGTCACAGGCGGTTGAGTGGTATCGCAGGTCAGCAGATCAAGGCTATGCGCAGGCACAGCACAACCTTGGATGGTGTTACCAGAATGCAATGGGCGTCGATCACAACCCTGACGAGGCTGTCAGATGGTACTCGAAGGCGGCAGGACAGGGACATGCGGATGCACAGAGAAACTTAGCAATCTGTTATCGGGATGGCGTGGGTGTGAAAAGCGACCTCTCCAAAGCAGTGTATTGGTTTTGTAAGGGTGAAAGCAGTAAAGAGTTGGGGATAAAAGACTTTGACGAAAGGACAGCTCCTGCGGCTGCTGAGTGTAAAGAATCTGATCAAGGTAAGGCGTCTCTGTGTTTTTTGTTTTGTTTTGTCTTTTTTCCTCCCATCGCAGGGGCCATGCTAATCTTCTCTGTATCATTCCGATTTAAACGGATGTCCGTGAGGACAAGGTAAGATGTCGCGACTTCGGATGAGAGTTCATTATTGATTGCTATGAGCGTGAGCATTATGAGGAGTATTCGCTCACCCAGAGAACACATTGAAAGGTGGACCAGTGTGTGCGCGGTTGTGGATCGTGAAAATTTATGAGCATTTTCTTCTCCTTGCCCCTCCCGGCCCCCTTTTGTATTCATGAATCATTATGCTGTTTTTGTATTAGCCTGCTAATTTCACGAGAGAACAGTACCCCTTTTCATTCATGTCCCCTTGTTGTTTCTTGCTTCATTCACGCTGATGTTTTGTACTAGCCCTGCTAATTTTGTAGCTAAGTGTACACCACCCATCTTTTAGCGCAATCGACTCCTTGGCCGTCTTTTGTGTCATAATGTCTTCACTCTCCCTCATTATTTGTTGAGCCATTTATTGCCAGCCAGCTAATTCTGTAAGCGATTGCAGACCCCATTAACTACTGACTGGTTTTCAGTTGGCATGCTGAATCGATCAGTTATGACTAGTGGGTGTGGTGTTCTTCCACATATCTCCGTACTACTATGGAGTTCTACTAATTTTCTAGTGCCTTCTTTCCTGCCCAGCGGTAATAACGCAATCAACGGAGAGACAGACGAGTGGAAAAAAATATTTGCCTGTATACGCGCAAATGGGATGGTTTTGCTTTGCCAAAGTTTGGAGTTCAACCTGGACCATTTAGCCCAGGTGTTTGTCCATAGGCCACATCGGCTGAGTAGTAAATACCCTCATGGACTCGTTGTGGGACATCAGAATGGGCGTAATTAATGAACCACTGCCGCCCTTCTGGCCTCGGCGTCCATTGAGAAGGACCTGAGCTTGAATCATTTACCTCGCTGGCTATTCATGTGACAACACTGACAAGCCTAAAATAGTAAAATCCCTCGATGCGGCCCATGAGAAACGAACCTGCCACTGAAACTGAAGTCTGTACGTTTGTTTTGAGGCGGGGGTTTGGAGTCTGAAAGTTGAGATTGGTTGCGGTCTCGGACTGTCCATGATACCTTCTCTTTAAGCCTCGTGCATATAGCGATGTAGGGGCCTGGCAGTTTACGTCTTGCAGCTACCATCTTCCCCCCGAACATGACATATATGTGTTGTAAATGAAGACAACGCATAGGTTGTGTTATGTTTGGGGGAAGATGGTAGCATGTGTGTTGAGTCTCATGCACGCGAGGTGTCTTCCGATACGAGTGTGTATAGTGATGCGGGTCTGAGAATAGTTAATGCTCTGGTGTGGACACTCTTCCATGCTAGTGCGTACAAAAAGAGAGACGCAGGGGGGGCAATAGTCAATGCTCCTGCATACCACATGTGAAGACTATCGTGTCTGTGTCGACTTTCTCATTGCAGAGTCTGGAGATGGAAGTTCATGGAATGAGAGAAGGAAACCCACAGCGGCTAAGGTTGCTTTCTATTCGAATACATTCGAACAGCCCTTCAATTTGTATAGAAGATACGTGTGTTCTATTCGACTGATTGATTTTTAGTTTTTTCCGAAACTCGAATACAATGCATATGCGTTATGTTTGGGAGAAGATGGTAGCATGTGTGTTGACTCTCATCCACGCTAGGTGTCTTGCGACCTTAGTGCAGACAGTGATGAAGCGATGAGTTTCTCGTTGCAGAGTCTGGAGATACGAGTTCATGAAATGAGAGAAGGAAACCCACAACGGCTAAGGGGTGTACGCATAATTGTGTCCGACTGCAAGTACCGTCCGATTCTGTCCAGGCCGGCATAATGTGAGTATGCCTACCGTCCGATTCTGTCCAGACAGGCATAATGTGAGTATGCCCTAGAATTTAAGTGTATTGTTGACAGCTAATGTGAGTATGCCGTAGAATTTAAGTGTATTGTTGACAGCTATTGAAGCGAGATATGGATACGTATTGGGACTTATCTTCACGAGGCCGCTGCATCATGTTCATTGCCAGTCGTTTCTACTCCTTGCACTTCTCCGATATCTCCTTGGGCCCAAGCTGCTCTCTTCTCCTCTTCTTGTCGCTTCGTTAACTCACTTCTTCGCGTGCCGTCTGGTCAGCCATTTCTACTTGGAGCACAGCAAAGACTGAACTTGATTCACTTCTTGTTAACTCCCACCACGATGCTCATACAGGGCACAGCAAAGACTGAAGTTCGCTTTTTGGGCCACCTTCAGCAGTCCAATCTGTGCTCATACGGTTCGTATGTTGACCAGTTAATCATTTGTTACAATTCGTATGCTGACCGGTTAGCCATTTCTACTTGGAGCAAGTAGCAACGGCAACTGTATAGATGATTGCTAAGGCTTGCAAATGTAAGGCAGTGACTTGCAGTTGGAACTCATGTGGTTAATTAACATGATACATGGGCAGACCCTGTTGTTGACAGATCACAAAACCCTTTCGGAGTCGGGTATGTCATCAACATTCAATCGAGTCTCAGTATGGAGATTGGAAAGGCGTCAGTCCAGTTGCTTGTTCCGCTACATTTACCTTGTCTTGACTTCATCTCAATCACTAATTCTAGTGTGATGGTCTCTACGATACGAGTACGCCCACATTCTTTCAGAATTGGATTGTAGGTTAGGACAGGCCATATGCTTTATGCAGATATCGATGGACAAGTCGAGATGCCAACCCTTGTCGTGACGTGTATGTTGGGTTAATTCATGCAATTGTGACGGTTTGAACCCTAATTAATGGAGTTGCAACAGTTTGAAGTACAAACCCTTTTCAAAATGACGGTAGCAATGCTTGGACACCCTTTTGGAAGAAAATGAAAAGGAAGAAGAAAAGAGTGTGTCCACCGTTTTCGTTAAGGGAGGAGAAGAAAAGCTGAATGTGCGCTCGACTTTGTGATGCAGCTCTGGCGACCGGTGATCATTCAGAAGCCAAGGAGCTTGGCAAGTGCACTGAAGGAGTGGTAGCTGCAGAGGAGATGGTTGTGCCAGCTGTCCCAGAGAGAGGGTTGTTGTCGGATACTAGGAATCAACAGCTCCCACATGTTGCTGGGCACGGCGTGACAGAATTGGTTAAGCCTGATCCCGATGAACGCAGGAACCTTGCAAAGTATGGAAAGGGGCTCGAGCAGCAAGTGGAAACTTATCTTGAGCAATCACGTGACAAAGTGTCTGGGCCAACTATGGATAAGCTGCAAGCGCCGGAGAGGAACAACACGTTTAACGAACGGTACCATGAAAGGATTCCAGTCGATAAGAAAACATTGGGTGGTGAAGGAAGTGGTATCAAACTGGGCCAAGACTATAGAGAGGCCTTGAGACGGTACCACGAGGCGGTGTTTGGCGGATCACGTTTGACCAGCGGTCTTGCCGACGCCCCGAGAAGTGCGGCCGCAGAGCAGACGTTGAGGCTTTCCTCAGTGACGGTGACGCCATCAGCGCTAGATCGTGCGATGATCAGCCGGAGTGCTTCAATGGTAGACAGGAAAGACAAAGGTAGGAGCTGCACAACCGAACCCCTCTGTAGGAATTTTATGCCACCGAGGGGACTCCCTACCTCTCCCATGTTCTCTGTTTTCTGCACTTGTCAGGTCAGGCAAAGTTTTTTCTTGTCTTCTTCTTCTTCTTTTGAAAGGATTACCTCCTAACGTCATTGTGAGCATCTGGTTTCATCAGGATTCGGACTCATTATCTGTTTATTAACAGTTTACATGTGTGGACTACTCAGTCCCATGGGCTATGCGTGTGTGTGTTGTCATGTTCGCTATACACAACTCCGCAGAAAAAGAATGACTGGCCGGCTGTTTCGTGGGACTTTCGCCAACTGATCAGGAGGTTGAACCCCGGCGGTCTGCCATGTCCAGGGCGTGTTTGACTGATGGATAAGGACTCGCCACGTCGCCTACAGTTAGCTCTACGCCTAAGAAAAATGGTTGACTTTACTCACACCCACTCTCCAATCCTAGCATGTGTGTGTGTGTGTGTGTGTGTGTGTGTGTGTGTGTGTGTGTGTGTGTGTGTGTGTGTGTGTGTGTGTGTGTGTACGCGCACGACGGCGTGCATATGCACATGATTGGCACCTCCTCTGTATATTACCAGCATGCTCACATGCCAATTGTGTCGGCTTGCTTAAGCACGCACATGCAAGCTTGGAAATGCATAGATGGATAGATTACCCTTCACCCAAACATCTACCTCTAGTACCTGTCGCACGCTGATGCAAATCCTGTGCAGCCCATGATGCCTCAGTATCGCGTCCATTGTCTTCCTCGGCGGGTTCTCTTGCACATCTTAAACACCTGGCTGCCCACGTGTCTGTAATGAAGTTTTAAATTCGTAATGACATTATCTCTGTTCTGAAATCCACTTGCTGCCCATTCCTTGCTCTCCTTCCAGCACACATTTAGTTCCGCCAGGTTCGTCTCTCTGGAATCTATTTCGGGCCGTTCTCAACGCCCTAAATGGCTCGACCTGGTCGCAATTTCATTTGACAGAAACCTGGCCAGAAAAAAAAGGCTATTATGAAAGGGTGGCAGCACTCACCGTGTCCTCATCAGATCTCGCTTCCGTAAGAACCATAGACACAGCAAATGACCTAATTCGAGATATCAAATTTGCGGAGATGCTGTCCTTCGGGACATCCGTTAAAATTGGAACGATACAGAGAAGATTAGCATGGCCCCTGCGCAAGGATGACACGCATAAATCGAGAAATGGTCCAAATAAAAAAAATATATTAAAAAAAAAATTAAAAAAAATTGCGGAGATGCAGAGTCGTGCAGACTGTCTTTCGAGCAAACAGTATGTGAATAAGCAACCCCATAGTTAATCTCTCTCTCTCTCTCTCTCTCTCTCTCTCTCTCTCTGTGCATGGGTGGGTGTGTATTCGAGCCATCCACTTCCTACAGTACCTCGAAACAACTGAAAGATTTGGGCTTCCCAATCTCGTTAACCATTGGCTTTGGTTTTCTTTGAAAATCTCATTGGCTTTTTTACCTTTTTCTGGGTGACCTTACTATGTTTTGTTCTTCTTCGTTTTTTTGAGTTGGACCGTCGAGCATTCCCTGTTCCTTTCACCTCATCATCATCTTCATCTTTCAGGGAGGGCAGCCCAACCTTACTTCTCCGGTGTGACCTCCTCCCCTCTTCTGAGTGCCAGCCACATCGTCATCACCACCACTTTTCCTCGAAACTCTTCGTGAGTCAAACCGTCGAGCATGCCTGTTACTTTCACCTCATCACCACCTTCACCTTTCAAGAAAGCATATGATCTCCTCCCCTCTTCCGAGTTCCATCGACATCGTCATCACCACCACTTTTTCTCGAAGCTCTTTCCTGGTCGTCTGATGCCTTAACCTTCAGTCTGTCCTTCTCTCTTTCTCCCCTCTCTTGTGCGCGACTTTGACATCATCCCCGTTAGGTCCCTGCTTCTCAGGACAATCCTTTCTCTTATTAGGGGATACTGAAGCTACCTTCTTTCAAACCATGTCCTCGTCCTGCCTCTTCTTCCTCCTTTTCCTCCTCCTCCTCCTCCTTGTTCTCCCCCCCCCCCCCCCCCCCCCCTCCTCCTCTGCCCTCGAGGCCACAGCAACTGTCATCGGGCCTGTCAAAGTTTCCTCTTTAGTGATTAAATTACTATGCAAGCTCGCGAGTAACATGCGTGCCAGCCTAGACTTTAATGTGCACTCGAGAGCAAACCCTTGTACTATCTATCTGTAATGTACCAGCCTAGAGTTTAATGTGCACTCGAGAGAAAACCCTTGTACTATCTAACCTGTAGTGTAGTCTATAGACTAAGTATGGATTCAGTGTAGACTCGGTACAGAGTCTATGTGCACGCAGCATGCAAGCCCTTGCACCGTCTGTGAGCTGTCATATCTTGAAGTCGATATGAAGGCAAGGGGATGTGAAGTCTATTTGCATATCTCTGCATTCTAATCTATGTGTGTGCACGCGTACAGAGTCTTTGTCCGCGTCCACATGCATGTAGAAGTATGTGTAGTGACTGCAGTCTGTATACAGTATGCATACAGTCTTCTTGCCGTATGTGCAATTTACTTTCAAGATTGTGTTACTCTGCACGGCTGTATGCGAGTCCGAATCTAGCAATGTGTGTGTTTTTGTGCACAATATTTTTAGGTCTCTGACTCTCCGTTCATTCAAGTTTTTTTTGTTTTGTTTTGTTCCTGAAAGTTGGACTATTCCTCGACTGATGTGTGTCATCGTTGCGCAGGGGCCATTCTAATCTTCTCTGTATCATTCCATTTTTAACAGATGTCGCGAAGGACAACTGTTCGAGGCTTCTTTTTCTTTCCTAGTTTGAAGCTGTTCTTGGTTTATGCATGTCGTCCTTGCGCAGGGGCCATGCTAATCCTCTGTGTATCGTTCCAAAAATTTAACGGATGTTTCGAAGAAGAACTGTTCCTTCAAAGCTTATGCTCAAGTTTACGCAAAAGTAGATGCTCAGGTCGGCACAACACAGCAGTCACACTCCTAGGGGCATTTCCGCTGGAGGGCGGCATGCTCTCTGAAGTGGAAACTTGCCTGTTTGTGGATGAATGTAACTGCGGATGGTGTCTTGATACCTTTGCACTCTCAACTCTTTTTGGAATGAATGTAGCCGCGAAGTGTGGTTTGATAGCTTTGCATTTGCAATGGGTGTCTTGTCTTGGTGTACATAAAGGTGCCGCGGTTGACGCAGTTGTGCAATTGCCTTGTGGTTCATCAACAGGATCATTCACTGTCCATTCTCCGCGGCCTGCCAACTCTCCTCAGTTTGGTCCCCTTGCAAGCCCCTGTGGAGCTCAGTCACCTCTTCTCAAAGTGCCGTCTTCGGACCGAATGTTTCCACAGCCTCTTGTGAAGCCGTCTACGTGGATGAAGAGGTTTTTCTCGTCACCGGTGAGGTCGACCCCAGCAGCTGGCAGCAGCCCAGAGAAGCCGTATTCGCAATCGAATCCAGAGTTTACACAGTCCAATGATGACGGCAGACACCATCAGCTCACGACGGGTGCGCAGCCTGCTCAGAGTGGGGCTTCAAAACCTTTTGCACTATCACAGCTGTTACCTGGAAGGTTTGCATCAATGGCAGTGGGAAAAGCCCCCACCCTCCCGGACACGTCCGCCCACGGGCATGCCGCTATCTCAGCGACATCTAGTGGCCAGTCTTCTACACAGCAGCAGACTAATAAAGTCCAGCCTGTTATTGCAGACTCATCAAGGAAGCGTCTCCCTTTTGCTCAGACTAAGCCCATTGATGACGATCCGAAACGTCTGGGCGTGGATGCCGATAATCTGCGAGGAGTGGCTGGGGTCACAAACCGATCAAATCCGCTGGGCTTCTCCCTCTTGCGGTCGAGGAACCAGCAAGGTCTTCTGCCACGTGTATAGGTGCGTGTTGTACTGAATTACACAGTCATGTTGCTGTGTCTTTGACTCTTTGATGATCATCTTTTGTAGTTTCTTTTTTCAGTTGATGAATGATTTTAGCTCAGACTTTTTGCAGTTTTCTTGACCTTGGTGATTTGTACATTCTGAGAGTGTCACTTTTGACACACTGTTGACAGACAGCTGACTTGCAGACTGTTCTTTGAAACAGATTGTAAGGTGTTAAGGAGGGTGTGGATGGATTGGGAGCAACGGGAGCCCATTTGGGGGTTCCCTGTTCTACAGGGGCATTTGTTGACGACTGGATCTTTGCGGAAGCGGGGGCGAGAGCGGAAGGGTGTGGATGCAGGACCAGAGGTAGAATGGTCAGGGAGAGGTTGAAGGCAGGGGCTGGGAGGAGGTGGGGGGGAAGTAGGGGCGAATATGGACACAATGGGAGCCCGCAAGGAGGAGGTGGGGGCGGGGGGGTGGGGGGGAGGTAGGGGCGAAGATGGACACACGAGGGGGCCTGCAAGAAGTCACTTCTTCTTCAAGGGTTCATGTTGGTGCCTGGATCGCAGGACCAGAGGCAGAATGGACGGGGAGAGGTTGGAGGTGGGGGGCTGGGAAGGAGGTGCGGGATGGGGGGCGGGGAGAAGGACGGGGTGAAGATTGGACACGAGGGAGCCCGCAAGCGGTCACTCTTTTTCTTCAAGGGTTCAGGTTGGTGTCTGGATCTTTTACACACTAGTTCAGTTTCCATCGCTCATTCTGTAAGTTGAACGGGCCTTTCACAAAGGTTCGAGAAGGGTATTTGCAGGCCGGGAGGCACTAGAAAGGAGGGGGACAGAATTGCATGCATGGAAGGCACTAGAGAGGGGACCATATTTGTGGGGTGTTGTTGGCATCTTCACACGAATACAGAGTACCCTCATTATTATGAATGTGCAAAAACTACCTTTCCGGCGCTTATACCCTCGTTATGAATGTATAAAAGCTACCTTTCTGGGCCCGATACGGTCATGATAAGGGTACATTGTGTTTTGGGGAAGGCGGTCGTATCAGTCATGCCGAGCAGCAAGTCAACGCTTTGGCGAGTGTCGCATACGGCGCTTTCTGCTAAGAGAACATGTTTGTCCCAACTGGATTGGCAAATGGGTAACTACTAAACAGGCAAACATGGCAGGATGGATTTGTGAAAGAAATGTTTGTGTGCGGGTAGGGGTTGGGGGGGTTGATGCGGCGGAGGAGTAGATTAGAGAGATGGAAGAGGGAGGGAAACATAACCAGCCCTGTAAGTTAAATGCACCCTTGTGGGCGGGGAAAGGTGCCATAGCTGAAGCTGTCTCTGATGTCAGAAGAAGAATCGAAGGGGGGGAGAAGAGGGGGAAATGTGAACGTTCCAATGATCAGTTTTGTAGATGTCGTAGGTTCTGGCTTTTCGGGGTGGGGTGGGGGGGGGGGGGTAGCTGGCAAGGGGAGAGGGGACGTGGGATGGAGCTGTGTGGTGCAGGGAAGAGGAGGGAATAGGGGAGTGGAGGAAGGGCAGTAGGAACGAGGTAAGAACGAAGCAAGATGAAAGGGGATGTGGTAGGTTTTGGCTTTTGAGGGGAGGGGGGAGAGGAGGAGCGAGGCCTGGTAATGGGAGAGTGGAGGGGGAATAGAGATGGGTTGGGGGAGAGGGTAGGAGAGAGAAAGGAGGGAGGAGGTTGGGCGGCAATTGATCAGTAGCGATGAGGTAAAACAAAGGGAGCTAGATGAAGGGGACCAGGTAATCGGAGGATGGATGGGCAGGAGGGATGGGCAAAAGAGGCTCTTTTTTTTGTCGGGGGTTAAAAACAAACGGAGTAAGATGGAGGGAAGAAGGGAGTCGGAGGATGGAAAGAGGAAAGAATCGCTAACAACATGACATGGTTGACGATGGGCTATTTGTCGGACAGTTCCTAGAAGCGGGTAGGAAGTTTGAAACACAACTGATAGGCTATTCGCAGCACAGTTTGTGAAAGCGGGGTGGAACAGAAACAATGGGTTATCTGTGAGCCTGTGGCCCAGTATGTGGAAGGCGGTAGAACTAATGGGTTATCTGTGCAAGGAGCTGTAGAAAGCAGTCGGCAGCAGTCGGCAGCAGTCGGCATGAGCAGCGGAGTGAAACGTAGTCGGGTTTGCCTGAGAGGAACGCGCTTTCACGAAGTTGTCAGGAGTGAGGACCACCACTGCGGCAGCAAAACACTGAACAACAGGAACAGTTTTTGCGCTATGTTTGGAGTCTTTGGACCACCACTGTGGCAGCAAACCTTGGTGGTATGGTCCTGCCGGGAGATTCCTCTTGTGATCACTGTACTATGTGAGTGATAGAAACAATGCGACTGAGTAAGAGGAGTGGGTGCGAGTGGTGGTACGTTTCGCTTCTCTCAATTTGTCAACAATGACGTTGAACAATTGGAGACGGGAGTAGGAAGCGGGGCAGAGAAGATTCATGATGGATGGTGGACTCAACCGTCGGCTGACAGCAGCGTCTTTTTCAGTGGAACTTCGTTCACTTCTGAAGTTTCGAGTGGACAGGTTTGCAAACAGAAAGCCATTAACATGTACTATTGTCACAACACGCCACCACATGTTGAAGAAACGATGCAACCATTCTAAAGCCATGAACTATTTATTACCTCCCCTCTTTTGCTTCCCCCTCTCTCCTTCACCACTTTTGAACCACCCAACCCCTCCCTCCTCTTCTCTCTCTCTCTCTCTCTCTCTCTCTCTCTCTCTCTCTCTCTCTCTCTCTCTCTCTCTCTCTCTCTCTCT